CCACCCTCTGACTCCTACCTTCGAGCCAATTTTGTATCCAAATGGCTAGCTGTCCCTGTATTCCAGGTGACCTAAGCTTGCTAACCAGTCTACCATGCAGAACCTTGTCGAACACCGTACTGAAGTCAATATAGACGACGTCCACCGCTCAGCCTTCAGTTACTTCATCACTTCTTCAAAAACCTCAATCAAGTCAGTGAGAGAATTTCTCATGCTCAAAGCCAGGTTGACAATCCTTAACTGGTCCTTGCCTTTCCAAATAGATATAAATCCTGTCCCTCAGTATCCCCTCCAACAACTTACCCATCACTGACATCATGCCCTCCAGTCTTTAGCTTCCTGGCTTTTCCTTACCATCTTTCTTAAATAGTGGTACCATGTTAGCCAATCTCCAGTCTTCTGGCACCTCACCCTGGCTATCAGTGATATAAAAATCTCAGCAAGGGGCCCTGCAAATCACTTCCCTAGCTCCGCACAAAGTTCTTGGGTACACTTGATCAAGTCCCGGGAATTTTTCCACCTTGATGCATTTTAAGATAAATTTTTCTTATTGCAAATCATTCACCTTTTGCCAGACTGCCTCATGAAGTAGCTAAAGTAACTCAGAAACTGACATCCCCCCAGGAGCTTCTTCCTTCAGCAGTTAACAAAATGAGAGCAGATTCCTAACTGCAAACCAAAAACTGGGAGATGCAAAAGGAACACCTTTGTGATCCGGGATTGCCAGTAGGATGGCAAAGGGTACATCAGATGTAGAGAAGGATATAGAAGCTATAGAAATGTAGGGGAAATAAGTAGTGATATCTTGAAAAGTGTCTAAAATACAGAGGAGGTAGTTCTGGATACTTTAAAACACAAAGGTAGAAAAATCCCCAGGACCTGATCAAGTGTACCCCAGAACTTTCCAGGAAGCTAGAGAGATTGTGGGGCCGCTTGCTGAGATTTTTATATTATTGATAGCTCCAGGTGAGAAGCTGGAAGTTGGCTAACGTGGTGCCATTATTTAAGAAAAGTGGTAAGGAAATGCCAGGAAACTATTGACTGGTGAGCCTGACATCAGTGATGGGTAATTGTTGGAGGGGACTCAGAGACAGGATTTACATCTACTTGGAACAGCAAGGACCAATTAAGGATAGTCAACCTGGCTTTGCGCGTGAGAAATTGTGTCTCACTAACTTGATTTGAGATTTTTGAAGAAGTGATGAAGAAATCGAAGGCAGAGTGGTGGATGTTGTCTATACGGACTTCAGTAAATTGTTCGACAAGGTTCTGCATGGTAGACGAGTTAGCAAGGTTAGGTCACCTGGAATACAGGGACAGCCAGCCATTTGGATATAAAATTGGCTCGAAGGTAGGAGTCAGAGCATGGTGGTGCAGAGCTGCTTTCTGGACTGGAGGCCTGTGACCAGTGGTGTGCCACAAGGATCGGTGCTGGGTCCACTGCTTTTTGTCATTTCTATATTTGACTTAAATGTGAATATAGGAGGTATGGTTAGTAAGTTTGCAGATGACACCAAAATTGGTGGTGTAGTAGACAGTGGAGATTACCTCAGAGTACAAAGGGACCTTGATCAGATGGGCTAATGGGCTGAGGAATGGCAGATCGAGTTTAACTTGGATACATGTGAGCTGTTGCATTTTGGTAAGGCAAATCAGGGCAGGACTTATAAACTTAACGGTAAGGTCCTGGGGAGAGTGGCTGAATAAAGAGACCTTGGAGTGCAGGTTCATAGTTCCTTGAAAGCGAAGTTGTAGGTAGCCAGAGTGCTGGAGAAGGCATTTGGTACGCTTGCCTTTATTAGTCAGTGCATTGACTATAGGAGTTGGGAGGTCACGTTACGGCTGAACACAATACTGTTTAGGCCACTTTTGGAATACTGTGTTCAATTCTGTATCTCCCTGCTATAAGTAAGATGTTGTGAAAGTTGAAAGGTTTCAGAAAATATTTACAAGGATGTTGCCAGGGTTGGAGGGTTTGAGCTATAGGGAGAGGCTTAGTAGGCTAGGGCTATTCTCCCTCGTGGGATAGAGGCTGAGGGGTGACTTCATAGAAGTCAATAGCATCATGAGGGGCATGGATAGGGTGAATAGCCAAAGTCTATTCCTCAGGGTAGGGGAGTCCAAAACCAGAGGGCACAGGTTTAAGGTGAGAGGGGAAAGATTTAAAACAGACCTAAGGGACAACGTTTTCACGCTGAGGATTGTATATGTACAGAATGAACGGCCAGAGATGGTGAAGGCTGGTACAATTACATTTAAAAGGCATCTGGATGTGTGTAAGAATAAGAAGTGTTTAGAGGAATATGGGCTAAATGCTGGTAAATGAGACTAGATTAATTTAGGATATCTGGTCAGCATGAACAAGTTGGACTGAAGGGTCTGTTTCCATGCTGTACATCTCTATGACTATGCACTAAATGAAATGAATATTTTAGTTCTGTTTTTAATCAATTTGAAGATAGTGACAATGGTCTAGTTGAAACATGGGTGTTGAGCAACTGAGCAGTATAGTGATAAAGGTGCTAAAAAAGCTGACAACACTCCAAGTAGAGAAGTCGCCAGGCCCAGATGGGATATATCCTAGATTTCCGACAGAGTTAAGGTAGCAAATCACAGATCTGTTGACAGATATTTTCTATGTCTCTCTGAAAACAGGATTAGTCCCAGCAGGCAGGTGCAAGTGTGACACTGTTGTTTAAGAAAGGGAAAAAGGATAACCCAGGAAACTACACACCTGTCAGCTTGATATATATAGTAGGAAAACTGATGGAGGCCATAAAACAGGATAAGGTTAAATATACACACAGAAAAATAAGTTTTACGACACAGTCAACATGACTATGTCAAGAGAAGATAACGTCTGACAAACTTAATGGAGTTATTTGATGAGGTGACACAGGCAGTGGACAAGGGTATGGTGTGCATGTTGTATATTTAGATTTTCAGAAAGCATTTGATGCAATGCCACTTGACAAGTTGGTTAGCAAATTAGGAATGTGTGGGATTAATAGGTCTTTGGCAGCCTGGGTTAGAAGTTAGCTAAAAGACAGGGAACAGGGGTAGTTGTGGATGTGCATTTCTCAGATTGGAGATGAGTTGAAAAAGTGATGTTCCCCAGGGATCAGCATTGGAACCCTTGCTTTTTCTGATTTATATAAAACGACATGGAGATAGGTGGTGAGGGCAAAAATCTAAGTTCACAGCTGATACTCAGCTAGGGAGAATAATGAATTGTGAGGATGATGCTGATGACTTCAGAGGGACAGTGACAAGTTGGTCAAATGCACAGACACCTGACAGATGAATTTCAATGCAGAGAAATGTGAGTTGATGCATTTTGGTAGAAGAAACACAGAGACAATACAGGCTCAATGGTACAACTTTGAGGGGAGTACAGGAGCATAGGAACCTCAGGGTTCATGTGCATAATCCTCTGAAGGTGCTCAGGGAAGTTGAGATAGTTGTTAAGAAGGCTTTTAAGTAGAGGTATGAGTATGAAAGCAGGGAAGTGATGCTACACCTCTACAAATCATTGGTTAGACCACATTGGAGTATTAATGTTTCATTCTGGACACCTTATTTAAGGAAAAGATGTCAAAATCCTGGAGAAAGTGCAAAGGAGATTTACTGGAATGATTCCAGGAATGAAGGATTTTAGAAACAAGCAAAGATTAGAGAGGTTATGCTTAATATCTTGGAGCAGAGAAGATCAACTGGTGACCTTATTGAGGTGTTCAAAATTATGAGACAACAAGGTGTGCAGCTGGATGAACACAACAGGCCAAGCAGCATCAGAGGAGCAGGAAAGCTGACGTTTCGGGTCTAGACCCTTCTTCAGAAAATCATTCAAAATTATGAACAGTTTTGACACAGTAAAGAAAGATGTTCTGTTTCCACTAGTTGACATATCAGTAACTAAGGGTCACAATTTCAAAATTGTCAGCAAGAGAGCGAGGACTGAGATGAGAAACATCTTTAGCCAGTTATTAGGATTTGGAATGCACTGCCTGGGAGAGTGGTGCAGACATATTCAATAGGAGGTTTCAAAAGAGAGCTGGATACAGAATTTAAATTGATGAAGGTAGAGGGCTGGAGAGTTGGTCGAGCTGAATCGCTTTTTCCGGAGCCGGTATCAAAACGGTGAGTGTCGAATAGCCTCCTCCTGTAAAATTCTACGATTCCAAGTGGATAGAGTCCAAGCGAATGCTGAAAGTCCTGGGATCACTTCAAAAGTAACTGGAGCACAGGATTTTGCTAATGGTAGAATTTCGATCGGCGATACTAATCCACAGTGATCCGGTGCTCGGGCTTTTTTTTTTAAAAAATAAGCCAACGTCCTTGCCTGTCCTATATTTTGTCATATATTTACCGAGCTTGTTCGGGGAAGTTTCCACCCAATCCCCAACCAAACAAGGTCGGTCTGAGGGTGAATAATGAACGTTGTTGTTTAAATCCCTCATGTTGCGAGATTGAGGAGTTAGAAATCGATGTGAAAGAGTCAGGCCCTGACGGAAACTGCGGCCTGGAACCACTCTTTAAAACAAGAGCGTTCTGCACACACCAGGAGTCACATTTCTATCAGCGGTTTACAATTTCAAAACCCGTTTTTCAGGTTAAGCGGCGAGATTAACCCACTTCCTCACCGTGATATTGATCAACCTAACCCCAGCAGCTCGGACACTCGCCCACGAGTTACTGCACGGAAAGCTGGGTTATTGCTGAACAGTGTCCCTGATCAGGGCTAACTCAAGAATTACTGCTTTCCGAATAAAACTGTTTTTTTCCTCTGCTTTTCCGCAGCGGATCCGCGAGTACCTTTCCCGAGTTTACGGCTGGTTTGGTGAGTCATTTAATTTAGGTTACATTCCTCGTTGCTAACTCAACATAAAGTCCCCACCTCTTGGAGCCGGAGTTTGGTTACTGCTTAGACCCGTGCATTCATTGTTGCGTTACTTCACACAATTTAACACCCTCTCTCCCATTAAAGGGCACAGTTTTACCTTGATGGAAACTTAAAAACAAAACGCTGGTTCACTACGAAGTAAACTTCAAATCCTGAACTGCAACTCCCACCAAGCCTCTGCACAGGTATGAGAACGAAATCAGTCTGGAGTTCCAGTCATTGGGTACGTACCGTGCTTGTGGGGCCCACACAAAACATTCAGGAAAGACAGTGGTATTTAGACCGAGATGGGCATGGTTTTAGACTGTAATTACAAAAATGTAGCTCACCTTTCAAACGTAGCTTTCAAAATTCTTTAAGCCAGGGTCAGGGGTACAGGGCTGCAGCGAACCCGAGACTATTCGAACAGAAGAGTATCCAGCCAAACTCCTCACACGTGTACAGTTCAATAACTCAGGAGCTTGTTTTAGACTTCACACCCTTCGTTAATAATATTTCACTCACCAACCTTACGCATACACTTCACGACACTTTAAGGGTGGACTGCCTTACACAAGTCCAATTCAGTCACTGGTGTGAAGTGCTGAAAGGACGGTATGCTTTAAAAAAAAAATGAGTCATGGCATTTCGACAACTTACCTGTAAGCGTAGATCGACCAAAGTGTAACTCGCAGTCAGAGGCTGTGCTAATAAGAAGGCGGGGCTCTCGTTTCTGCTGTGCAAACCAGACCCGCAATCTCAGAGGATGTTGTAATAATAAATACGTAATTTAGTATGCTTTGGGATTTGGATTTTAAAACAGGGACAGGTGGGAAGGTAAGTTTTCAAGCGTGTCAAAGTCATTTGGAACAGTGACCAAAGTATATCAGTTCCAAGAAAGCATGTGATTACAGTGAAGCGCCTGGGAGAACCCTGTAACGTTAATAGCGAGACTATATTGCTAAATTTACTACAGAACCAGAAAGTTCAAGCTCTCAGTTCAGAAGAACCAGGAGTTCAGTTCAGAACTGAGAACAGTTTCTTCTAGCAAAAGAATTAAGCTTTTACTTCAGGAGAAGCAGTCATGCTAACTAAAGTGCTTCAGTTTGTGGAGCTTCCAAGCCAGGTGAGGTTGTATACAAATCTTCAGGTCTCCAGAACTAAAATAGTTTAGGCCAACAGAATTATGAAGAGTTTATGACAGCAGACTCAGAACAGAATTAGTCGGCACAGTGGCTCGGTGGTTAGCACTACTGCCTCACAGCACCAGGTCCTGGGTTCAATTCCACTGTCGGGCAACTGTCTGTGTGGAGTTTGCACATTCTCCTCGTGTCTGCGTGGGTTTCCTCCGGGTGCTCCAGTTTCCTCCCACAGTCTAAAGATGTGCAGGCTAGGTGGATTGGCCATGCTAAATTTCCCATAGTGTTCAGGGATGAGTGGATTAGGTGGGTTATAGCGGGATGGGTCTGGGCGGGATGCTCCGAGGGTTGAACATAGAAAAGTACAGGACCTTCGGCTCACGATGTTGTGCCAAACTTTTACCCTAATCCTAAGGTCTATCTAACCTCCACCCGTATCTTACACTATGATCCATATGCCTATCTAATAGCTGCTTAAATGCCCCTAATGAGGCCGACTCCACTACCCTCTCCGGCAATGCATTCCACGCCCCGACCACTCTCTAAGTAAAGAACCTACCTCTGACGTCTCCCCTATATCTACCTCCACTCACTTTAAAACTATGCCTCCTCGAAATAGCTACCTCCACCCCAGGAAAAAGTCTCTGGCTGTCCACTCTACCGATACCTCTGATCATTTTGTACACCTCTATAAAGTCACCTCTCATCCTTCGTCGTTCGAAAGAGAAAGTCCTAGCTCTCTCAAACTTTCCTCGTAAGACCTTCACTCCATTCCAGGCAACATCCTGGTAAATCTCCTCTGCACCTTTTCCAATGCTTCCACATCTTTCCTGTAATAAGGCAACCAGAACTGGACACAATACTCCAGATGCGGCGAACCAGGGTTTTGTACAGCTGAAGCATAACTTCACGGCTCTTGAACTCAATCCCTCTATTATGAAAGCTAACACACCATACGCCTTCTTAACAACTCTATCCACCTGGGTGGCAGCTTTCAGAGAATGGTGGACATGAACCCCAAGATCCCTCTGCTCCTCCACACTGCCAAGAATCTTTCCGTTAACCCTGTATTCTGCTTTCAAATTTGTCCTTCCAAAATGAATCACCTCACACTTTTCAGGGTTAAACTCCATCTGCCATTTCTCAGCCCAGCTCTGCATCCTATCAATGTCCCTTTGTAACCGAGAACTGCCCTCTGCACTATCCACAACTCGACCCACCTTCGTATTGTCCGCGAACTTACTAATCCACCCTTCCACTCCTTCATCCAAATCATTTACAAAAATCACAGAGGACCCAGAACAGATCCTTGTGGTACACCACTCATAACTGAGCACCATGTTGAATATTTTCCGTACACTACCACCCTTTGTCTTCTAAGGGTCAGCCAATTCTGAATCCAATCTGCCGTATTTCCCCCTATGCCATGCCTCCTTACGTTCTGCATGAGCCTACCATGGGGAACCTTATCAAACGCCTTACTTAAACCATGTGTACCACATCCACTGCTCTACCTTCATCCACGTGTTTGGTCACCTCTTCAAAAGAGTTCAATAAGGTTTGTGAGGCATGATCTACCCCTCACAAATCCATGCTGACTATCATGAATCAAACTGTGCCTTTCCAAGTGATCATAAATCCTATCTCTCAGAGCCCTTTCCAATAATTTGCCCATCACTTACGTAAGACTAACAGGTCTGTAATTTCTGGGGTTATCCCTATTCACTTTTTTGAACAAGGGAATGATGTTTGCCTCTCTCCAATCCTTCGGCACTATACCCGTGGACAGTGAGGACGAAAAGATCATCGCCAAAGGCCCTGCGATCTCTTCCCTCGCTTCCCATAGAATCCTTGGATAAATCCCATCAGGCCCGGTAGACTTATCTAACTTCAAGTTCCTCAAAATTCCTTGTACATCTTCCTTACTAACATTGACCCCCTCTAGCCTACCAGCTTGTTTCACACTGTCCTCTTTTACAACTAGGTCCCTCTCACTTGTGAATACCGAAGAAAAGTATTCATTAAGGACCTCTCCTATCTCTTTAGGCTCCGTGCACAAATTCCCTTTACAATCCTTGATCGGCCCTACCCTTTCTCTGGTCATTCTCTTATTCCTCACGTACGTGTAAAAAGCCTTGGAGTTTTCCTCGATCCTATCTGCCAAGGTTTTCTCATGCCCCCATATAGCTGTCCTAAGCCCTTTCTTCAGCTCCTTCCTGGATAACTTGCATCCCTCGAGAGCCTTTTCCATTCCTTGTTTCCTAAACGTTATACAAGCATCCTTCTTCTTCTTAACCAGTCGTTCAACCTCTCTTGAGAACCAAGGCTCCCTCACTCGACCGCATCTTCCCTGCCTGCTAGGGACAAACATATCGAGCACACGCAGTATGCATTCCTTAAACAATCCCCACATTTCAATAGTGCTCTTCCCTGACAGCATCTGTTCCCATTTTGTTACCCAGTTCCTGCCTCACAGAATTGTAATTACCCTTCCCCCAATTATAAACCTTACCCTTCTGTATGTACCTATCCTTTTCCATGACTGTTGTAAAAGTAACAGAGTTATGATCGCTACCGCCAAAATGCTCTCCTACCAACAGGTCTAACACTTGGCCCGGTTCATTGCCAAGCACCAAATCCAAAGTGGCCTCTCCTCGTGTTGGTCTATCTACATACTGTGTCAGGAATCCTTCCTGAACATACTGGACAAAATCCGCTCCATCTAAACTATTACAACTAAAAAGTTTCCAATCAATATTTGGAAAGTTGAAATCACCCATGACCACAACCCTGTGACTTCTGCACCTTTCCAGTATCAGCCTCCCAATTCCCTCCTCCACTTCTCTGCAACTATTAGGGGGTCTGTAAAAATCCCGCAACTAAGTGACTGCTCCTTTCTTGTTCCTGACCTCAACCCAAACCGACTCTGTAGACATATCATTCTTGAACTGCCTTTCAGTAGCTGCTATGCTAGCCCTGACTGGCAATACCACTCCCCCGCCTCTTTTTCCACCCTGCCTATTTTTTTTAAAGCATCTAAATCCCGGAACTTCCAACAACCATTCCTGTCCCTGAGTTACCCAAGTTTCTGTAATGGCCACAACATCGTAGTTCCAAGTACTGACACATGCTCGAAGTTCATCCGCCTGATTTCTGATACTTCTAGCATTGAAGTATACACACCTCAAACCATCTCTGTGTTCACAATTACGCTCCATCGACCGCATTTCTTTATTAACAGCCTCACTCCCTGTTGTGTCTGTTAGAAGGCCGAGTACCTCATCCTCTGAATTACAAAGCCGGTTCCCCACCCCCTGCCAATCTAGTTTAAACCATCCCGTATAGGTTGAGCAAACCTCCTTCCCAGGATATTTGTGCCCTTCCGGTTCAGGTGCAACCCGTCCTTGCTGTACAGATCCCACCTTCCCCAGAATGTGCTCCAATTATCCACATAATGGAAGCCCTCCCTCCTACACCAGCTCTAGCCACGTGTTTAGCTGCACTCTCTCCCTATTTCTTACTTTGTTATCACGTGGCACTGGTAGTAATCCAGAGATAACAACCCTGTTTGTCCTGGACTTCAGCTTCCAACCTAACTCCCTGTACTCGTTTTTCACATTCTCAGTCCTTTTTCTACCTGTGTCATTAGTACGAATGTGTACCATGACTGCTGGTTGCTCACGCTCCCCCTTAAGGATCTTGAAGACACGATCCGAGACATCACGGACCCTGGCACCCGGGAGGCAACATACCATCCGTTCATCTCATTCACGTCCACAGAACTATCTGTCTGTGCCTCTTACTGTTGAATCCCCCATTACAATTGCTCTCCTATTCTTCCCCCTTCCCTTCTGTGCCGCAGGGCCAGGCTCAGTGCCAGAGACCTGTCTGCTATGGCCTTCCCCTGGTATGTCGTCCCCCCCAACACTATCCAAAGTGGTATACTTATTATTGAGGGGAACGGCCGCAGGGGATCCTTGCACTGTCTGCCTATTCCCTTT